ATCCTCTAACTAAGGCCTTAACAAGAGAAAAGGTCTGGAGCACATCGAAGGGGATGGGATTGAAGCCTACAAATCCTTGAGTCATATATGAGGAAACCCAACCTGGGGACTAGAAATCCGATAACCAGGATTAAAGGGAAAAACTAATCATACGATGACTTGTTGTGAAAAATGCACTATCTTTTTATTTTCCTTCCTATGATGTGAGTGCATTGTTTCATGTAGTTTGTGAAGGTTGAGTTGATAAAACTCTTAATGAATATATGTAGCCCGTATATGTGGAGTGTTAAGCTTACAAGAGCACTCTCGACAGATTTCACCTATGTGATGTGTGGAAGTATGTCGCTTCCTATGAGAATTGGGCTTATTCTCAAAAGCACTCATGAAATCGGGATAGCACATGGCCATAACGTGCTGGCTTTAAAGTTCATGTCAACACCTTGATTATTATGTGTGAGCAGTGATATTTTATTTCCCTTAGCAGTCATAGTTCAAGTCTGAGACCACTACGACTCTGGAGTAAAAGTTACTGTTTCACTAAGTGGAGGTTCAATGCAGAGCACACCTTCATTATGCATAGTAGTCTTCCTTCAGTTGATAGGCTCTCTTGATTAATATTAAAATGAGTGGGGGATTGTTGATCTTTTTGAGCATTTTAATATTTATTTATTATTAAAATAGTCTCATAATTGTGTCTAATTGCATTTCAGCCTTAGTAAATGTGCAGAGAACGTTGGAAATTATGGCATTTCTTTTGTTGTCCGTTAGTGGACTTTTCTTATGCCTAATTACTCACTTTGGTTACTCACTGTGCATGTGTTTTATTGCTCATTATTTGGTGGTTACAAAACGTTCAACTTGAGGTTGCCGTTAGTGGCAGAAGGTGGTCTACTATGACCACTAATTCTTTTCATTCCTCCTCCATTATTCCTTGTAACCTATGTAACTTTAGGTCATTTATCTTTACTATTTACTACCCCATTATCTTTCTATGCATTTCTAGGAAGACTTCTTGTACTATAAATAGTGATGGTCTTCATTTGGTTTGTTACACACAACATATAAGAAAAATATAGTGTGAAAGAGTTGGTCAAAAAGAGAGTTCCTATTAGTTGAAGGGAGGTGTTCTTTTTGTGGAGCTTTGGACTCAACTCTTGTCCAGAGTTGTTGAGTTATATTTTGTGATTAGACTGTTGTATCCTGGAGGGGACAAGTCAAGAAGGACTACTGTTGGACCGGTGAAAACATTTGTTGCAGTGGACTTGAATCTTCTTAAAGAGAGCGAGATATCCGCGCCTCAGCCTGAAGAGATTTATTTTCTTCATATTTATTTTCAATTGTAATCTTGTATTTTTGTTATCTTGTAAGTTTTCACTAACACAACGAAAATTCTACACTGACATCTTTTATGATGTACGCTACAATTATCGTTCGAATATCATTTTAGTTGTTTATTTATTCTTTCGTTTTCAAATTATCTTAAATATACTCAGTTAGATGAAGTTTCATTCGTATAGAATTTTCATAATATAAAAGGTTTAATTTTTTTTAAGAATAGGGACAACATCATAGGTGTTGTAAGTGACGATCTTCATAATATATGGGATGTAACTCATGTAAGTATTTAATTATAAAATACATGAAATTTATCCGTAATTGGGTTATAATACAAAGGTATTTAGTATAGTTAACCCTTTTTTAGATGATTTGTTTATCATAAAAACAAAGAAACCATGTTAGAAGATTTGTACGATACCGTCGTATTAACGAGGATGACAATTAGGAGGTCGCAGGGGAACTTTTTTTAATTATAATATATGCTAATACGCATCTTTTGATAAGTTGAAATACCACCATTATCAACTACCATAGTTGTTACGTTGCTACTGACCATAAACAATTATCACTACCACAACCATTATTACTATTATTGTCAATCATAGCAATAGTTGTCAACGTGTCTGACATCATTTACAATCATCACTATCAACCATCATTATCATCAATCACTACTGACAATCACTATTATCAATCACACAACTATATTGCCAACTGCCATTATTGTTCACTGTCACGATTCGGCATTACATATCATTATAATATATCCATCACCACCACCGACCGCCACCATCACCACTACTTCCTACGATCAACATCGATCATCCCAATTATCGGCACAAAAGGATTTGACAATTAGATACTTTGGGCCAACGTTGAGTTTGTTGTATTGCATTTGGCCCAAACATAAGATGGTCCTCAAATTATTCTGAAATCGACATTTTACATTTTTATTTGAATTTTTTTTGTTTTCTAATAATATTAGATTTAACATTTTTATTTTTGGATAAAAAATTGATATCAAAAAAATTAAATGAAAGAAATAGCATTTAATTTTTATTTTTTAAAATTTTTGGTTTTGACGATTATGATTTATGGTTACAAGTGCAACACTGGTAAAGAGGAAAAATACCAAAAAGTAAAAAAGACAAAGCAATAAGTTAAAATTAGCCGTGTAAATCTAGTAAATGGAGTACAAGGGTAGAACCGTGGGGTAAGTTTCTGACTTGAAAAGAAGAGAATCCTAAGAAGCACCTTAAATGAGAAAATAAATGCATTTCTCTATCAATATACAACAATGACATACCTAGTCTGGTGTCACGAAGCGGGATTAATGTGTATCTTCTACATCTTCATATCTAAGATCATGTACTTGGTGAGTTGTAACTGTGCCATGTTCTATCTAATCACCCTTCCTCAATACTTATTCGGTCTACATTTGTCTCTTTTGAATCCATCCTTAGCCAACCTCTCATACCTTCGCAAATGAAACATTTGTGCATCTCCCGTCTAAATCATCTCAACCTCGCTTTCACATTCTGTCTTCCATCAAAGTCATACCCCAAAAATAATGAATACATTTTTATGATATATTTTGTTGCAATTTTACAAAAAGTAGGATTAAGTTTTACGTACCATCTATCATTCTCAAATATGCCCTCATTTGTAAGATTACACTTAATATGTTATTTTTGTTGTAATATATACTAATGATAAAATGAATGTTTCTTTTGAAATGGCTCTGAAAATTTTTACCAACCAAATATAAATGCCAATATTTATTAGATTTTTTTTTACTATAGCATATAGTACATAGTAATAATTTTCGTAGTATTAATTGCCCTAGCCATTATTCTAATTTCTGAATTTGATTTCATTTCCAAACAAGTACTACCCTAGTAAATGCCTTAACCTTTTAGAGCCAAGACATAAATGAATAATCTGAAAGGCATTAAACTTTTTCCCCAAAGTAGGTCATGTAATTGCATAGCCATTAACATCTACAATAAATTTCTCATTTGAAAGTTCATAACGTTTTAGGATTCAAATAATTTTTAGGCATTAAACTTTTTGATGAGAAATTCTTTCTAATCTACATTCGCTTGTTACAACTCGCAACCAACTGAAATTAGATTTGCAAATAACTCAAGACCACTTAATTGGGAGAGATCTTATTATCATTTCCTTTTAGTCAATTATATATACATTTAATTTAAATTTGTGTCCTGAATTACGATTCTTTTTTAAATTTTGTATAAACATAAAATACTTTGTGCATCTATCTTTTTAAGATAGTTAGTGTCCTGATTCGTAATAGGTGGATTTTGCATTCACAATTTCACACGGTTGCTATAATATTTCTTTCACGATATAACATAAAAGTCAAACTAATATCCCAGATTTTTCATTATTCAATTAAACAACTATTATATATTTTACAATATAATAATAGTGCTTGTGATCTATCTTTTGATAATTTTAAAATTACTTTTCATTTGAAATAGATAAGCCAGTGGGGCCCACATTCGTAAAAACCTGACAAACGAACAAACCGTTAAGTGGTAGAATTGTAATTAAATTGAAAAGAAGGGGTTAAAAGTGAACACATGTCAAAATAATGAGACTTGTTTTGACAGATTTGAGCCGCCCGAAACAGAGCTCAAACTCCAATGGGAATTGGCTTTTCTGCCCAAAGACAAACAAATTATCCTATTTGCCCCCCAAAATGACAATCCAATCCCTATCTTGTTTTAAATTTCAAAAATTCACACTATAAGATCCGTTTCTTCTGATTTTTTTCTGTTCCTCTCACAAAATGATAATTATTTGGAACTTTTTGTTGAAAATTACTTGTCACTGCTCTACATGATTTTTGAATGATTTTATAGATATTCTCCACTTTTGAAATTCAATGTTTTTTAGTTAATGATATTATTATTTATTGATAGATAAGTTATCAATTAAAAGTAAAGTCGTAGATTTTCGTTATGACCTTAATAAATACGTCATTATTATATCAATAATCCTCTTATTTGAATTGGTGTTTGAAATCAAGCTTTCAATGTAACGATTTAGGTGAGGTCCATCTTTCAATTCATTTGTGAGATTCGAGCTATTCGAAGGCGACCACCACAATTTCTCTCTTTGAGAATTAATACATCTCTTATTTTGAGCATAGGTTTAGAATCAACGAGAAAACAAAATGAAGCATCTAACAACACAACTTTAGAGTCCAAGAATTATCATATCAACACCTTCATGTAACACTTTCGCCATTTAACAATATCTGTCCTTGAATACAAAATAGATCACATCTCTCCATTCAAACAACACTTAATTTTTTTATGTCGATGTCTCAAGTTCAAATTCATGCAGAGACAAAAATACTAGATGATTTCTTTTTATCTATCTTAGCTTTGTTGAATAGATTTACCTGATAGCTATTACTAATAAAATATGACATATACCTTGTGAAATAATTGAGATACGTGCAATCACGTGAATTAGTAGAGAGTCTTAACTCAAAAGTTGACATAAAAAGAGAGAAGGGTATAATGGTAAAAGCAGAAAAAGTTTTTCTAACGTTATATAGCCCAACCCAATCGGACCCGCCCATACCCATCTTTTCAAAAATTCGGATCCTTCTGAAAATAATCAGTCGCCGCTACCAACAAGTCTCACACTACTTACTGCTAAATAGTACTCCTTTTTTCTGTCTTTTCTCTTCCCAAATCTCCATGAATCGTTTCGTCTCTTCTCTTCTTCTCCTTCTTCCAATTCTTTCTCGTTTTTCTATGGACTGACTAGGGCTTTTTCCTTCTCCATTATCATCGATTCCAGTGTTTTTTTCTTCTTCCATTTCTCGTTCCTCAAGATCACAATCACTGTGTGAAAAATCACGCTTGAGTTTGTGTTTCAAAATCGACGGTTATCGGAAACTGTGCGATGGGAGAAATGGAAGAAGATATGGAGGATATGGTTGAGTATACGTTTACAGCGGTGGAGATTGACCTCGATTACGAGTTTGATGCACCTCGTTACTTTGATTTAGGTTGTGAAGAGGCTTTGCCTGAGACTTGTCAAGCTGAGAGTTGGTTTGAATCTGCCGGAAGCTATCCACCTTCTCGTGAGTCTTTTTTTTTTTTTCCGGTGCTAAATTTTGGTGTTTATTTGATTTATTAGAACTTGTATTTTGTTTTCCTGCAATTTCTAGCTGTATTTGTTAAGGAACTAGTGTTAAAACGTTTTGATTAGACCTTGCATTTTTTGTGTTCTCTGCATTTTTGCATCGAAGCTGTTTGTGTATGATTCAGAACCCGTGACTCACAGGTCGCTTTTTAGGATCAACTTCTTCTGGTGCGATGATGCCAATGCTATATTTCTCACGTTATATATTTTGTATTTTTTCGCTTTTTTCCGACAATATTTTAGCTTTCTCCTGTTCATCTTGTTTTGAAAATATTTATATTTTTCTAACTAAGGTAGTAAAAGCTTAGCCTGGTGCAGCAAGCTCTCGCAATGGACTGTGTGCAAAAGCGTGACCACAAGTGTCTATTGTAGGCAACTTTAGCTGCATTTCTGCGAGAGGCTATTTACATATCTCGAACCTGTGACTTTCTAGTGGCATACTTGTGATAGTATATAGGAAAATTGTGTTTTTCCACCTCTTTTTTTTTTTTTTTTTTTGGAATTTTTTTGTTTAGAACTATGTCTATAACTCTCTGCTATGGGAACTATGTTCTAATGAAAAGAGCTGGAATCTCATATATACTATTTTCTTTGATGTACTGAGCATTATATGACACTGTTTTCTTTCTGGCTGTTCTTTGCTTTCATTTTGGTAAAGACCTGCCTAACATTCCTTAGGTTACGTTATTCTAGCAAAATTTAAATTTGGATTGTACGCAACACTTGTGTTATTGTTTATGGAATACTATGACTGATAATACATTTGTTCTCTGTTATTCAAGCTTTTGTCACTAGGTTAATTTCGAAGGAGGACAGTTTCCTGGAAAACATTCATGTATCACCGAAATCCAAAGTTGTGAATATGAGTTTGTCTGATAGTGATTCTGATATTGAGGTTGAGCAAGAGGTTCCTGCTGTAATGCAAGGTGTTTATTCTGCCTCTTTTATGTTATAACTCTTATCTTTTACTTGAATTTTGTGCTCTGCTGTTATAAGGGAAATGTATTATGTTCCTTCATTGGTGTTGAGCATTTGCTTTTAGAAGTTTATAATCAATTTGGTTATTCCATATTTTTGCATGTGGAAGTATCCTATTGACTGAAAATTTACTGAAATGTAAGCTAGTTCTTGACATTAATTGTGACTCTTGAGATAAGTAGAAGGTAAAGCTTATAAGAGTCTAAGGGAATGAACCGGGAAATTTATCACACATGGTCCTTCTGCTTGATGTATTTTTCTGTTTCCCTCAAAAAGATTTAGTGTTTTTCCTAGTTGTTTACTTTAATTATAAGCTGGCTTTCATGATATGCCACAACTTTCTTGTACTGATGTTGATACTAGTAATTGGTATCATTCTGATATACTCAAGTTTACTGTCTGATCTTATTTTACAGAAGGCGAGGTCAACAATGCAGGAATTTCTGCTAACTTAGAAATTAGCAATGCTGAGAAACTTTTAAATCAACTGAGACAGCTTCCTTCAGGTGCTTATCATTTCTAATTTGACAATTGTAAATGTCTGCATTTTAATGTTTGTCTTAAAGAACTATCTCTGAAATGATTAATATTCTACTCGTAAAATTAAGAATGTGTTTTTGTTCTGTCATGGTTCAAGTTGGTTGCTTGAGTGATAAGTATGTGATTTGTGAATAGGCAACCATGTTACACTAGGTACACCAGTTTTGTCATGCAACCATGTAACACTAGGTCTTGTGGTGTCTTTTAACTCTTATAGGTACACACTTATATTTGATGCCTTTGATTGGCAGGGCTGACTTTCTACAATCACATGGCTACAGGTGCCACTGCCACAAGAGGTAAAACCAGGTGCTCAGGAAAGCCATCTTTTCCCAGGGGCTCAACCCTCATGAAACCAACCGCAAGTCACTTAGCCAAGCAAAACCTGCCTCATCCAATAGGTGAATCGAGGTTGGTACTGACATGTTAGGATCTTTCTTCCTGATGCATGCATCATCTTGGAATTCCTGATTTTCTTCGCATTCTCTGTTTTAAGTGCAGACCAATTTTTATTATTTTTAGTGTTCTTTTAAAAAAAATTCAAGAGTGAGGATCTGTAAATCTTTTAACAGTGGGTCATCTTCTGTATGTGTTTTGTTGTTTTTCATATTCCACCTTTTGGTGAATGGGAATGACCTTGTTTGATCATACATCTGCTCATCACCGGCACTGCTAACTACTTTACTGGTTTGTGGTCTCTTTGAACACCTTTCTCTTGTATTAGGTTACCCACATTCTTGGTTGAGAAAAACGGAACCAGTTCAACTGTGATCGAGACTCAATCTGCCAAGAGACAAAAGCTTGAGAGTGGTCATCTACGGAAGGTAGTTTTTGTATGTTCTGCCCTATGGATTTTGCTCCTTTTCCTCTGCATTATGCCATAGTAATCATGAGTCTCTTTATCTATTAATTGCTTCTTCCAATTTAGTGTTTCTTTTTACATTAACAGAATCAACTTTATGAATTTGTGGAGTTAAATCTGCTGCAAATTAATTGAATAGAATTATGATTTTAAGAATTTTTATGGGGGATGTATTACTTGTTGGAATTCTAACATTTTTAAGTATTGGAAATGGGCTACAACAATTCTACGCAAGGTTGATTCGTACTCTCTGGAAGGAAAATACAACCCTTGCCAAAAAAGTAAATTTTAATCATTACTTGGTCTTCACATCTAATTACTTGACCAAGGTTCTTCTCCAGCTGTGCAATCTTGACAACAGCGCAAATGCTTTATCTCTTCCTTCTATTGTGTTCAAGTTCTGTTCACTTGTATATGGACTTTTGGCATCTCTCTAATGTTAGGTTGCTCAATTTTTAATTAAAAAATATCTTTTTCTGCATTACAGGTTGCCGAAGCGAAGCCTGTATTTAGTTTTGTTCACAAGGCACCTAAGCGAGTGAGTATTTGCTCTCCATTCTATTATCTATATTTACTCAGAAAAAGTTAGGAGTCTTCCTCCTTGTACAGTTAAAGACCTTAAGTGGCTATCTGTTTCATTGTTTTGGTCATGTCTGTCCTTAATATTTTCCCTTCACCTGTGATATCTTTTGTTGAGTTGACCTTCCCTATACCTATAGCAATTTTGGTTGATTTGAGTAGTTCAAAGTGCGAGCTCCCATATTTTTTACTTAAAAGATGTCTGTAGCAATGTTTGCCTCAGTATTCAACCGCCGACCAGGTCCACTCTTGAGTGGCTGAATTATGTCTCTAGTACGAAATTATGCATAATCCCTAGTCTCTAGAGCTCTGGATTTATCAACCTTAACCATGTAGAACTTTTGGTGATGACTGGATTTTCTGTTGGAGTTCTGACACAGTTTGTGAACTATCTTGCAGGATGGAAAAGTTGATGGCAACAACACATTGGCGAAGCCCAGGATTACTATTCCTAGAGAGCCTGCACTTCAAACAACTCATAGAGCACAAAGAGCAAGGTTGGCCTCATTAACTGGTTTCATTTATCTTATCCTGTTTAAGATCCGTTGTCAACATTTTATCATGACATTTCAATTTCAGGCCAAAAGGTAGTGAACAAGCAGAAAATTTGCCGCCGACAGCTATACGTAGATTCAAAGCTCTTCCACTAAATAGAAAGGTTAGTAAACATAGCTTCTTTGAGGCAATTAACTCATCTGCATGTTATTGACAGCTGACTATCTCACAGATCTTTGAAGGTCCTTCTTTGCCTCCAAAAAGAAGTAATCCACAACTTCCGCAGTTTCAAGTAAGGATTCAGACCGGTGTCTTTGCTTCTTGTTCCTGTTCTAAGATTACCAAGCTCTATTCATATCATAGTGTCTGGCCTATGGCTTTGATAACCAGTCACTTATATTCCATGAATTTTCATTTAACATTGATTGTAATCATAATTTCACAAACAAGTGAATTAAAATTTCTACCTTGACACTTTGGTTTTCAGGAATTTCACCTGAAAACGTCAGAGAGAGCCGTGCAACATCGTTCAGCCGTTTCAACTTCTGCTGCCAATTCTTCTTCTATTAATGACAAGGTTACATATCAGTTCTTATCATGAGGAGTTCGTTCTTATGCACAAACACTCTACTCGATTTAACTTAAAGGCTGAACCAGTGAAATTGGATAATAATAGTGGCAACAACATCACAAGATTTGGAAACTTGTAGTGTTACCTTATTTTTGATGGCTTCTTCCAATGTGGTTTTTTCCAGCCTAAAATATTACATAAATTGCACTGTTGGTGAAGTCTAAGAAATGTACCCACCATTTTTTTTTTTGGATTCTATCTGCTTCTAAATTTGAGTTTGATAAAATTAAGAGGGTTCATAAAGAAATTTGGTTATTTGAATTCAAATTGTTTGCATTATTATTACTGATTGATAAAATATTTTGTTGCAGGTGTTGCAGAAAGCCAGTTTTAATTCAACCATGGAATGTAGAAATAGAGAATTCAGAAGGTGAATGTTGATATCCTTGTGTGTGTTGTTAGCATAACATTCTATGTTGTTCTTCTTATTACATTCTTTAGTTTATTTTTCGTTTCAATTTAAGATATTGGTTGTCAATGCTTGTAAAATGTACATTACTTTAAGGTTAGGTTGTGGGTGACTAAAACATGTGAACTTTTGTATATCAGAGTCAATCATGTAGAGGCTCCAAAGCAAGAAGAATCGGTGTCCACCTACAACTTCAAAGCTCTTCCCCTTAATAAAAAGGTACATTAGGGAAGACTGGGGAAGTTTTGATATATGGAGTTCTGGGAACTGAACTTTTTGTTTTATGTAGATTCTATCAAGTAAAGGAGACATTGGAGTGTTCCGAAATACCAAGAAGGAAACCACAGTGCCAATGGTAATCCAAACATGTCTAGTTTTTTCAGTGTTATTGTTATCTTTGAAGTTCCAATAATGACACATGAATTGCTTTGCCTCTGCCACAGGAGTTTAATTTTCACACTGTAAAGAGGATTCATCATAATCCGCCAATTGATTTGTTTAAAAAGGTTCGTATTTTTAGATCTTTATGTTGATGTTTCAATTGTGTACGTTGTTTGGCGTCTTTTTTTGGACACAATATTGCCACTATTACTATAAGTTTTTCTATTCTTGTGTTGTAGCTCATCAAATAGTTATTAATCTTTCTTGTTTTTTTTTTATCAGCTATCTCTTATGTCTGAGCCCCAACAAGCTGCAGGAGTGCAATCGAAAGCACAAAGACCATCCTGCTTTCTGTCAAAGGTTCCATTTATTTTTTCATTTTCCTTTTCTGATCTAATTTAGTTAAGCATTGGATTTTTGATTTTGTATGGCTTTTTGTTACAAGGGTTCTAAAGAAAATAGATGGGCTTATTTCCAACAAAACCATGAGGTAAGCACTGTTTATTCAGTGGTTGCTAGCTCTTTCCATCTCCATTCATGTGTCTAATAGGCATTTCAAGCCACCAAAATTTCAGCATTATATTTATGATGAACTTTAATCAGCTTACAAAAATAAATTCTTATTTTTAAGATAGTACACACGGAGACCGGAAAACTAGCTGATCTCAAAAGCAAAGCCAATTTTGTTCGGTAGTGATGTGGGGTAACTGAAGTTTGTCAAGTCTCTTACACGATCAACAGGTACATGCTTTTACTTTCTTTTTTCTTTACAATCGAGAAATCTCCAAGGGTTTGAAGATGTGACATGCAATGTTACATCTTCAACACCTTGGGGGGAGTTTTGCTTTTTCTTCTCATATTATCCAACTCGATAGGTATATTTGAATTCTTGTAGGTGTTTGGGCTTTTTAGGGACAAAACACAGCACATTTCTGGACGTTGATGGAACACCTTTTTGCTTGATTCAAAAGGCAGACTGAGATGATGTAGCAATGCCAATACATAACAATTGTCTGAAATTGTCAAGTGCATTCGAATATATAGAAGTTTATAACTTTATGTAAAAATCACTTTCTACAGATGTAAACCATCAGATACGAACGGCAATGTTAATCCCCATGTGAATAAAAATGAGCAAGTTTTTGTTTAGTTGAAACTGTTCAGCTTTGTTTTGCTTTGGTTCTGCCTTGTATGTTATTTCCAAGAACGGAAATAATTGGCTGATTCTTGATGACAGAATGCTTGAGAGATTAAATGAATTATGTATCAGATGTGAAAAAATTACAAATTTAATCAAATCCTCTTGGCTAATTTCATAGTTCAGACAGCTGGGATTACATTCATACTATAATGGCTGCAGAGTAGGGAAGGCTACTTTAGACCCTTCGATAACGTTTTGCTCTTTCCTAGTCACTACATTTGTGCTCATCCTCAATGCAGCAAGACTTTGTTACTCTTGATTCCCTTCAGGACTAATTGCCTCATACCCTTATATATTGCTGCTAACTTCCATATTATACATTTATGCAGCGTGATTATTGATTTAAAATCATTTTTCCTCCTCAGAGGCGCACTCTTTGTCTCCTGAGTTATGTTTCCCTATTGACGTGACAAATGAAAGAGGTGAATGTTTTGTCCAACGCTTCATCAAAGGCTTCTTATCCTTGCTGTATCTCTTCTTTGTTATGGCAATGGCGAGATCATTGGGGAATAAGGTTTTCCAAACGAAAGCATGCAGAAGGGTTGAGACGAATAATATGCAGACCATTGTTGTTGACATGAACGAAAGGGCCAAAGCCAAAGCCTTGGTTATGAAAGAAGGAACCTCCTCTGCATACTTTATGGTTGCTATTGAAACTGTGGTCATTGGAAAAGTATATGACCACCATGCAACTGAAAATCTGCAGATAAACAAGATATTAGTTCCAAGTTTTTATCAAAATTTTGAACTCTTGTGCTGTTTTCGTAGTTCAAGGACAAGAAAGTTACTTGAATCCTGTGAAGAAGTTGGGACGTACAACCAACGATAAGTAGAGAAATAATGAAATGAAGTAGCAGGTTCTTGCCAAGCCATCAAATTCATCATATATAGCACCCCAAGCAAGGCTGGCTGCAGCTGGAGTGGCAATGAACATGGAATAAACAGGGTGAAGTTCCTTGGGCAACGCTTCACTCGTTGGCAACCTTTGATATAATGTGACAAACACCACAAGGTAATGTGCAAAGCCAATCGACCACAAGAACTTTCCAGGCTCCTTCCACCCCACTTTAGCAGCCAAAATAGCTCCCACGAAATTCCCGATTACAGAGAGGTGAGATGAGGGGTTGGCTACTTTACAGAGACGTCGTTTCCCTCCTGAAAGCCATTGGCCATAGATTTTGAGATTGAGGAAGAATATTGGGGCCATGAAGACACACCAGATGGCAGGGTGAAGAGTTCCTGGTGCTGTTTTAGGTGGTGCACCAATAGCTAAAAACATGCATACAATCCATGGAGCACAAAAGAAGTTGACTCTCACTGGGTGAAAGTACTCTCTCTTTATAGCTTCAAAGTAAAGAGCACATTTGAACATGTAGGTTATGAAGACTGCAACTAGAACCCCCACGGCTAACAGCCAAACCGCGAAGTTAATGAAAAGTGGAACATGGAGGAATTTTGTGACAGGACTCAGAGCAAGAGAACGCCAGAGGATGGCTTGACTACTAAGGCCTAGGCAGATACCGAAGCAACCAATTGGGAACCTGAGTAGAAAAGGCCATTTTTCATCTTTTGGAAGAAGAATGTCCTCAGAATCCTGCAGAAAGGATTGTTATACCAACACCTGAGTTTAGCAACATCTATGCACGGACAGCGCAAAAGATTAAATAGACATTTTGTTACATTCTACGTATCTTTAGTTCAAGAACACAAATTCAAAAGTTTCTTTTACTTTTTTAAACTACGTGTCAAGTCAAAACCAGACAAACAAATTGAAACAAAGGGAGTACGGATAATTACCTTGACTTGATCAAGTTCAGGTCCTGTAAGGGCATCAAAGTATCTTCCAGCAGGTACACTTTTCTTGACATGATCATTAAGTCCTTCTTTAACATTATTGTTCTGAAGTTCAATTCCACTTTCTTTTCTAAGTGGTATCTTTGAAGATTGTCTAGCAATAGTTGATTTAGTCCTGAACATGTTGAAATCTCCTTTATTTCTTGCTTCAATACCAGTTGTTCCATTGACACCAAATCCTCCAAAACTCTTTCCACTTCTTCCGAGTATTTTTCGCTCATTTTTATCTTTAGATGTCTCTCCATTGAGTACAGAGAACCCTGTCTCTAGTGAAACTTGTCTGCTGAATTTCCTAGGAGGCCTTTTTATTTCTCTATTTTTCGTAGGCCTGTTGAATCGCGTGTCTGGTTTATCAGCTATGATTGAAATGTTACTGTTTTCTTCATTGTAATCCTCTTCCTCTTCATGCAAGACTTCATTGATATCAACTAAATGGTTGTTTTCTACAGAATTTGATCCTACATTCATTTTGCACCCCTTCTATTGTTCGCGATAAGTGGACGAAATGTAATTATTCACTATAATAAACTTACATTTTTATTGATTGTCAAACATGAGATGTATCACGAGAAATGTGAAAAAAAAGGAGTTTGTTGGTGGTGGTTATCAACTTGGATCTTTGATGGGGTTTCTCGTGAGGAAGACTTTAACAAAAGTAATTTGTGGTGTTTAAGAGAACAGATTATTAGATTGAGGTATTCAAGTTGAATATGTTTGTAATTTTATGGTTTGTGTCTTTATGAAAAGAAGTGGTGATTTGTGTTTGAGAGGCATATTTTCTTGCATTTCACGGGTTTAAAGACCAAAATAAGGGCAAGTGTAATAAGAATTAGTGGCATTGGTTGTGAACTTTTACCTCATAACTAGGGTGGCCTAGGGTAGCATAAATAGTGTCATTTGGCCGTAATGAAGTAGGTTCAAGTTGTAGTTGAATCTTGGTTTATGACTACCAAAAGTCATAGTCTAGTTGTATCAATCAAAACCTTTTACATCATATATGTTTTAGACGAAAGGCAGATCTAAGATTTAAAGTTTATGAGTTTTTATAATGATCTTATGTTACTATACAATAATAATAGAGTTCATATTCAAATATTTATAGATATTTAGTAGATTTCTTAATACATATATGGAGTTTGGATCAAAATAACTGAATTCACGTGAATCCATAGACGACACTCTAGATCTGCCTCTGTAGTTAGTAGATCCACGGCGGAGCCAAAAGTTCTAATAAGGGAATTCAAGAAAATGCCAGAATGCTAGACTTGGGGATTCAAACAATTCTTGATAGAACCTTTTCCCTTGCTTTTGAATAGTTCATCATGGTCCATTCATTGCTTTGAGCATACAACTATTAAATCTCTAGTAGCATAGTTTCTATTTTTGTGCTAACAGTTATTGTTGGGACGATTTGTATAAGTTTTGAACTTCAACATACTGCAACAATTCGACTTATATAAGTTAAACTTCATGATATTGTACTAAAATTTCACCTGCACCACTTTGAATTTTATGACAATATGGAATTTTATTTGTTGAAATTTTAGAAATAGTGACACTATCTTTCAATTACAAAGATTGAAAAATAGCTATTTGTAGTGATATGGGCCAAAATATATAGGTTTAGTGATATGGGCCTTCAAGACAATCCATCCAAAAACATGCATTCTATTAACAAGGCCCAGTCTGATGAATCGAGTTCAACTCATTTTTCAAAATCTAATACTAAACACCAGTTAATAAGGACCATGTGGTAAAATAATTATGTCAAACATTATTTTCTTAATAAATGTGTCAATTTCAAATGTGACAAGTAAAAATGAACAAACTTTTTATAAGAGAAAGGCACATTTACAAAATAATCTATCTTTAACACTTCATTTTTACTTATCAACCTGCCTATGAGAAGGTAAAATAATTCTCTGCCATTACTATTATTTTTCTACTTAATTTGATAAAATAGACAAGTAAAAATGATTTTTTTTTATAAATATAAAGATCAAGTATTATAAAACTTTTCCACGTGGAGGGGCAAAAGATTAGATGTTAATATAATTAGCATTGTGACATTCGGCAAGAATAAAATTAGGATCAAATAAAAAGTCATCGTAGACATACTTTTTTTTCTTCAATTCCAAAAGCAACATATCAAATTCCATATATTAAATTTAATTTAAACTTTGTTATTTTCTCAAAGAACAATGCCGCTATTAGCCGGCTACCCTTCTTAATCTTCAACAATTAACAACCTATAAATACGTCCTCTAACAATCAATAATTTCAAATCATCTAAATATCTTATTATAACTACTTATTTTTTTTAAAAAAACAAAAAAATCTCAATGGCGCCGACACCTTTTATGATTGCAGTTATTATTGTTGTTGTTGCCATTGTTGCTAGTCCAGCAATGGCAACTGATCATTGGGTTGGTGATGATCAAGGTTGGAAACTCGATTTTAATTACACAGCTTGGGCTGCTACGAAACAGTTCCACGTTGGAGATAAGCTCAGTATGTAACATTTAATTTATCATACTTACTCATCTAATTTGTTCATATCTAGTAATTGTGTAATCGACTCATCTGAACTTCTAAAGTTGTCTTAAAACATATTTTCAATATATCCTTGAAGCTAAGTCTGATTCATTTTGTGATTGCAGTATTCAAGTACAAGAAAGACGTTCACAACGTGTATAAAGCAGATCAAGAAGCCTTCAAAAGCTGTACACCAAGTAGTGATGTTACACCTTTAATATCTGGAAATGATGAGATTTCCCTGACTACGCCAGGGAAAAAATGGTACATTTGTGGTGTAGGTAAACATTGTGAAAAGGGAATGAAACTTGCTATTAATGTTTTGCCAGCAGAATCAGTATCCCCTGCTCCTTCACCAAGTAGCCCTGGTTCATCTTCTTCATCTGCATCTTCAATTTCTCTCGATTCCAAATTTGTTGCTGTGATTGTTGCTGCATTTGCAATGATCGTTGTGATCATGACTTGAGGATTAAATTAGTTCGTATGGAGGGGTGAGCTGATGAACATTTATCAATTTGTATGTGTTATTTGTTTTCACATTTTGAATAATTGTAAGATAGTTGAGGCAATCAGGACTCAGGAGTAGTGTATGAGGCTCCTGGATTTATGTTATTTCTTTTACTTTGTTTGTTGTGTTATTGAAGATTTGAATATGTTTACCATATATTAGTTATGCGGATTTCTAATTGCAAATCAAATACCATATTGATTTTATATATGAATAACTTACCTACTAACCAACTATCATATATGATACTATGTGAGATTTGATACCGTATAACTCACCTCCAAACCAACTATCAAACGACCCCTAATTGTGCACCAAAGGACCAAAAAAACAACTCAAATTTGGGATGTTCATTAAATTAAATTTTGTGGTTGCAGTGGAGTGGGCAAACACTGTGCTAATGGTATGAAATTTGGCATCAATGTTTTGCTATAATTGGCATCCCCTACTCCTTCACCTTCTTACTAATTTTGTTGTTTGAATGGTTGTTGTAATTGTCATATTTTTCATGATCAGGGCTCAAGGATTTTCTGGAGTTCTGTGTCGAGGGGACGAGTGACTTGAACTCCTTATTTCGTTCACTAGTTTGTTTTTTCTTGATTCGAGCTGAACTTATTGTGCAAAAATTAGTTACACCATCAACTAATCTGTCAGAGCTATCCTTGTTGAACGGAAGTCAACTAATGTTATTTTGCCAAAATATCACATTGTGTAAATAGGTAAATTGTTTTATATATAAATTACCTGTTGATTTCTTTGTGTATTTAATTCTTTATATTTTGAATTGTTTTAGTAGAAATTTTGACTTTGTCACTCTGCCACAATCCTAAGTGTATACCAAAGGACTAAAAGGTGACTTGTGGTTAAGTAAATGGAATGAAATTTGTCATCAATGTTTTGCCACAATTGGCATCCCTTGCTCCTTCACCTTCTTACTAGTTTGTTTATTTGAATGGTTGTTGTAATTTCATGTTTTTAATTGTCGAGGGGATGGGTGAACTGAACTCCTGATTTTTTCCCCACTAGTTTGTTTTTCTTGATTCGAGGACTGAATCAACGTGTTTGTTAAGTTTACCAAGTTCTCGATAGCGTGAGAAATAAAGCAACACCTCGATTGTTTCTTTCTTTCTTGTTGTTTATTTGTTCAAAGGTTAATATGTATTTGGTTTCTAAAAAGCTCTCTGACACGCAAATCACGCGCTACACTATTATCACTAAACCAAAGCCCTGGAGGTGACTTGACTTCATGACCTGACTTGTTTATGTAAATTTTTTTTTTTTTGTAGTAACACATGATTTAGAGGACCCCAAAACAACTTTTTTTTTTCTTTCTCATCAGCATTTATATCTATTTAATACATTCATATATATGGCCCCTCCCTTTATCTCTTCAAGTGGATGAAGTTTTATAGACATAAATGTGATGTTTGAAATAGGATATTTTCTACAATTGCACCATCTTGTCCAAGTGGACCTGCTAATCAGCTATCTTTCATATTCACTGTTCCCTTCCTAGTTGATTGCATTTATCTGTTGCTGCTGCATTGGCCATGTTCTCTTAAATCTTGGTTTTTAGTGTGTGGAGGCCCACTTTTATCCTTTTTTCTTTGTGATTTATTTACTTTTTTGGTATTCTATGTTATCAATCAGTACTTCATTACAAGAATTTTAACATTCTCAAGGCTTGAATTTGAAATTTTTGATTAACAGTGAGAGGATTTCATTCATCCTATCATAAGCTAATAACTTTTGGTTAATTCCTGTGTATTTATTAAGAAATCTCCTATATATATTAAACATTTCATTATAAACTCAATTATTATTATAGTATAAACTTGAAATCATTGACTCGTTGTAAAAGTTCATCAACTCCGAGTCTTGAATTAGTCTCCCACCATACTCCTTCATGATTTTTTTTAACATAAGATCATTTGCATAAATCGCACGTTTTGCTCTTCGAATAGACTAATCTTTGAATTTCTTTTGTCACGAGGGGCATAAATTAAATACCAGCACAAAATAGGGTCAAAGAGGCTTATCATACACACAAAAAAAGTTAAGAAAAATAATATTAGAGAAAGTTGAACCTTAAACCTTTTAACATTTTAAGATAAAATTAGTAATTCATATAAAATTTAAAATATATTAAATATATAATGCTAGTGGGTGGAAATAATTTTAATCATTTTATTCTTTTATCTATTTGGTTGAGAGACAACTTCTATAAAGTCATCCTAAAAGTAACATGCTTAACATGCTCATAAAGAAAAACAACCAATATTTAGCTTTATGTAGCTAACCAACTCTATATGTATCACACAAAGAGTAAAACAAAAGCAAAATAACACATCTGATCTACATTTTACCACAAATATTAGTTTTCCCCTACTATTCTACACAAATCGCTCACTCGATACAAAAACTTACCTGTCGTTGTAGGTCAACTTAACGTATAAAAGTTTTTTACACTGTTAGTGCAACAGAGCAAAAATCCCTTTCCAAAATACTATAAGTTTCTTTCTGTGGCTCTCCTATACCGAACGTTCTTACATATGCTTTCTAAGTAGTTCTTCCAAGAACCTTGATATGAGGCTTAATAACAGTAGGGTCATGTCAGATTAGACTAATGTATATGCTCCATCAGGGTACGGAGTTAGTGGGGCGGAGATGAACCACCTTCAACGGAAAGTAGAAGGTACACTATCTATCAGCATTCGCGAAGTTAACCTTAAAAGGAGTAGGTGCATTTCCTATCAAGTCCCTCATACGCAACAGACATACTCAATAAATAGGAAGGTTTAGAAGCTACAAACATGCTGGAAATAGTTGAAAACTTGAAGTCATTCTATCTACATGGAAATTAGGGTGGGGCAACCAAAGAAACTTGGCAATAATGACAGCAACTTCTGAACTAAGTACCACTTAAAAGACTTGCCAAATAATACAAACAATCAATGCAACTCATGACTATTTTGCACCACAATTTTCCATGTAGTCGTTTTCTAAAACAATCCGGGACCTCAATAGATACAACATTTCAATATGTTTCTTGGCTGGCAGATCAAACATTCAAAAGTAAAATGACCTTGCATCATTTTGATTATTGAAATGTTTGCTATACATCTGATTGATTACTTACATCTTTACAAGAACCCCAGATCGCCAACTTTTTATAATAAGGATCGACACTAAAAATGTTATCTTGAGAATCAACTAAAACATAGCAGAGTAGGAAAGTAAACTTGAGTTTGGACAAAATATATTGGGAGGACAATTCTCCTACCAAAATATTACACATAGAGAACAATATCGAAAGAATCAGTCTTTCTTTGTTGTAGTTGCATCAAAGGAGTATAAAATTACAGAAAGGGGAAAAGTAAAAGAGACAACTTTATTCTCTTTAAACCACCCCCAATCAAGAACAATTATATAGAGGAAAAAAAGCATAGCACATAAACCTTTTTCCACTTTACCCCATTTTTCTTCCTATACAGTGGAATACAATCCAACCACTTAACATCCCCAACCAGAATGAATTCTAATTAGACCAAAAAAAAAAAAATTGTACCTTTGTGTGGCATCATCAAGATTGAATCTTTCAAGCTATCATCAGTGTGCTGTTACTTTAGATCTCTTCTTTGCCTCACTGTAAAGCACCACACCCATTACAGTCACAGCAAATCCTGTTATGCCCATGATGTTCACTGGATTCCTGAATATCAAAACTGACACCACTGCAGCCACTGCAGCCTTGGCATTCCCCAAAACTTGCAGTGTCAAGGCACTTGTATGCTTAGTAACCAAGAAATTAGTTAAGTTCACCAAATAAGCAACTGTGGCATTACCAATCAACAAGAAAACCATAAATCCATCTCCCTTAGCTTTCTCCACTGTAACTGCTGCTACATTCCCCTCTATGTATAGCGTAAAAGGAAGCAAAATCATTGCTGCCATTGGAGCCATGTATAATAACAGATTCATGGAGTGTAATTTCTCAGCATCAGAGGATAACAACAACCCCTGAACAACAGATTTCAAGGCTCTCCCAGCAGTTGAACCTAAAGCCATCAAGAACCCAAACAAATGGAACAATGGCTCACTATTGCTAGCCAAGACGATACCAAGGACCACAGGGACAAGAGCTAAATAAACCTCAGCAGTTTCTTTCTTACAAGTTATCACAAAAGCAAAAATAGCAGTAAAAAATGGGGTAGTAGCACCAATTGCTTGATTAAACGATACAGGAAGGTACCTCAATGAAGTATTGCCACACACAACAGAAAAACAAAAAATAGCACTTAAAGCAAGAATATTGAAGAACTGTTTCCTGCTATGTATCTGCTGGAAAGGAACAACTTCCAGCCACTTAATAGCAACTAAACTATAAGTAGCACATGACAGCATATGCAACATAGTCAAGAATATTGGGTAACGATAACCATAAAAACTTAAAAGATACTTGTTTAGTAACAACACCCCAATATTTGAACAGTACCAAGAAGCAATTATAAGAGCAGTAAGTACATTTGGTGACACCAAAGAAGTTATCCCACCATTAGAATACTGTTGCTGTCTGATTTCAGCAGTTGGGGTTACTGGCATATCCAAGACTTGATCTTGGGGTGACTCCAATCTTGGATTGCTTCCCCTTCTTGTAGTCCATGACTGTGCCTCCACCATTACAATGCTTCTAGCAACTTAACACAGTGTAAAGATTCAATTTTTATGAATCTTGATACAACTTAGTATACTAAATACCCAATAGAATTTCAAGAAAATATAATGGGGTTGCTACTGAGCTATTGTTTGAGTATTTGGCTAAATGGGGGTTGAGATCTGGGGTAGTGAAGAAGATAGGGTAAGTTGGTGGGAAATTTTGGGGTTTGATCTAATTGAAGGGTCAAGATTTAGATTTCAAATGAGGGAAGTAATCTTAGCCATTGGATGAGAATTAAATGACTAGAATAATATTAATAATAATAAAATAAAATTTGATGATTATAGCTGTGAACAAAGTGTCGGTACCATATTGGGTGCTTTAAGCTTTATGCACTGTCCCACCTATGAATATGGTCCACCGGATGAGGCTACTCCTCCCTTTATCAGAGATCTCGAGCTCTGGGTATGAAAAAATCATGAATAATTATCATTATCCCACAATAGAGCTCACATGAATTTGGAATAGTCAAACTCCAATGTGAATATCATACATAAGTAGACTGTAGCACGTGTCGTTTAAGCGTGTGAAGCGGACCAATAGGAATTGTCTATCTAACATTCCCCTATATTACATCCTATTTTAAGAGCGGGGGGGGGGGGGGGGGGCGTAGTTATTGTTGAAATTTCATGAGATATGTGGTTAAATTAGTCAATTAAGGTCAAACATATTGTATTGACAAAGAAACTCTTATTTGTTTGTTTATAGAAGTTTTGCATTCATGTTGGAGACAAGTAATATACAAAGATGTAAATGCATATGAAGTGGAATTTGATGTAATGTTTTTATACATTTTTGTATGTTTTTTCCAACCAATGCTTCAATAATTGGCAATCCAGATTGTTACTTGCCTCTTTAAAGTCAATATTGGTCATAGAAATGGGTTGGAGAAAGTAATTGGCAATCAAGATTGTTTGTTGACAGAGCAAATGACATAATCAAGAAGATCATTTTAATTGGCCTTTCAATTTGCTAAACAAGAAAGGAAAGATTAATCATTATTATAGCCTTCTATTAAAAGATTGTTGCATTTAATTGTATGGCCTAATGATGGATATAGATTTGACAATTATAGTAGAGTATCTTTTTTCCATTAGGTTAATTCTTAGGGGCCATTTGGATATCTAGGTTATAATCTCAACATTATAATTCTGGAATAACCTTGTTTTAAGCCAAACAATCCTTTAGTGAATGGTGTTTCTCGGTATACATGCTTGTAAGAAATAGTAAGCATCCGGTAAAATAGTCAAAATATATGCAAGTTGGCATAAACACTATCGTGATTAAAAAATGACTAGAATCATTGTCTAGCGATCCATTACATCATATTTCAAAATAAATTGTTCCCTCAATTAAATCATAACTAGAAATGTCATAACAAAAGAAAGAAGAGAAATCGTTGAATTACACACATCTCCAATAGAACAACTTATACTAGTAATTAATTTATTGGTAGACCGATGGAGAAAGTGGTTGTGTCTGGTTCTGAATTATGATCTATGTTGTTTGGACTTTTCAAAAATATCAACGGTTGCATGTCGGATACTTTACCAGTAGTGCATTTTTGAAGAATCTGACACGATTGCGACAATATTTTTGAAGAGTCCGAACAACGTATATCTGTTGAACTTGTTAACTCCACACACTTTCTTGAACGCTGGCGGCCTCTATGCATATGCTTCTCACAATATTTCTGATTTTGGACCACACCTTTGTTACATCTCCATTTCTTGCCATCAGTCCTCCTACATCTTCTTGGCTCTGGTTCCATCCTACTTTTATGTTCCCAACACATGTGTCCATACCCCATCACTGCAAAAAGAATCACGGTATTCGGTACATATTATCCGTCTTTAAAGATTCTTGGACGCTCGTTAAAAAAAAGAGTTTGAGTTATATGCATCGACAAGGGAGGGTAAGAGGTTCAATTGATTTTTTCATGAAAAATTATACTACTAGTTTGAATTATTGTCTCCACCACTAATTACACCATCAGGTCATATTTACATGTTGTAGCAGGTAATATGTATTAAAAATCTGTCTTATTTCCAATATTACAATTTACAATTCTCACATTTTAAAGATTGTAGATATTCTTTAGGTGACACTGACAATGAAAATATTTTTCAAATATTAAAATTAAGGGTACATGCATATGATAAGGAGCAAGATTTTACTAACACTTCACTATACATGTTACTATGAATCTATCAAAATCAAAGAAAGCACCTCATTGGACTAAGCTTTAGTTATACACGAATTTGAATAAAGGTCAGACCATAATACAATCTTACCTTATATTAATGCAAAAGATTATTTTCACATCTTAATTAACCTCATGACTTTCGTATCAGATGACAACAACAGCTGTTATCATTATGTCAAGGTTTCTACCAGTCAATCAATCTGTACTAAAAAACAATGAAAAATGCTAGAAGGTTAGGTGGAAACTTACAATTGGTCATGTAATGTGGATAGTTACCATCATGAAGACCTTTCAAGGAACAAGTAAAAGACTTGTATATAGGAATAATTAGATGTGATGGAACAGGTAGCCCTGCTTCTATATACTTGTAGATGAAAAATTGTTGCTCTAATTCTTGCCTTTGTAGAAATGTAAATCCATATCCATTTGTACTAAATTTTGAGTAGCTAAGCTCAAGATTTAGCCCAAGTTCAATTGAACATTTTTCACCTCCATTAGACACTGCACAAAATTAATAATAACAACAACAATGAGATAATAAAATAGTCATTTTTGGCCTAAAATATGTACACCAAAAGAAAGGAGTACCATTGTAGCAGACTCTTTTGTTAGCAATATTCTTGGGAGGTGAGCTTTTGAGTTCCATGGTAGATGAGATATATTTTTATTTTTTTTAAATAATATTAGTACTACTAATTGTCTGCTGCTCATATTGTGAGATGTGCAAATAGGATTCAGATAAAAACAATGAAATACTGGCACAGACAGCAAGTCTTCTGACATAGTCAGAAAATTTGGCAGTTCTTGTTTTTGAATGGTAGGGCTCTTAGCTTTTTTGTTTTTGCGTTCGTAATCATATTGAAGCATGACTAAATTCATATTTTTGCATTTTAGAACTCGATTCTAGGGGGCTGCACTTTCAATAGTGTTTTTTCATTTCCAAAAACTTGAATTCGAAATCCTAATTAAGAGTGAAAGACGAGAAGGAGTTGCTCGGATGGTAAGCACCCCTCACTTCCAACCCGAAGGTTGCGAGTTCGAGTCACCAAGAAAGCAAAAGGAATGGGAGCTCCTAGGGAGGGGTAAAAAAAAAATTAATAGTGAAAGGACACTGAATTGTTCCACCACAAACTTTGCACTTAGACCATGTGTAGTCCAAGATAACAACAACAACATCATACCTAATGAAATCTTTATTCCACTTAGTAGGGTCTAGAAAGGGTAGATGGTACACAAACCTTATCATAATCTCGTTGAGGTTGAGAGACTGTTTCAAAAGACCCTCAACTCAAGATAACAAAAACTAGAAAATGAAAAATTTTACATTTTGTTTTTTTTTTCTTGTAGAACTTACCCTACTTTTCATATTAACTTGTTAATTGTTATGCTTCATTTTTTGTTTTTTTCCTTTTCTCTTTGAGTTTGATGCACTTAAGCTGATGGTCTTTCGAAAACAACATTTTTTTCCTTCACAAAGTAGTGATGAGATCTATGCACACTTTTTTCTCTCCAAACTCCATTTAGTGAGATTATATTGAATATGTTATTTATCGTTATGAATTCTGAAATATGACAAATTTATTACCATTTCTCCCCTAAGTTCTCTTTGTTTAAGATGTAACTTGTGAAGCATTAATCTGGATCAATCCAAGTTAAGGAAAGTATATTGACATACAAATTTTAGATATTTAATAAGTTGAAGTCACAAATTCAAAATCTAATCCTAAATTCAAAATTAAAATTCAATTTGTAATAAAAAACAGTCAAACAAAAAAGTTAATAGAAAATTGAATTTTGATTTGTCCAAACTATGCCCACCCCTTATTGATAATCAAACATAATCGTTTCAGAACTATAGGGCCCGTTTGGCCATAGATTTCCCAAATAATATTTGGGGAAAAATTTGGCAAATGGTATTTGTCCATACAATTTGCCATTATTTGGCAAATATCCCAAATTTCCAAATACTAGTTTTTTCAAGTATTTGGGTCAAATCTCATTATTTGGGATCTTTTGAAAACTGAAATTTTACACCAAACTTTTATCTTTTACAAAAACACTCTCTATAGTAGTTGTCTGCGTTGCATTACATAATTCTTTACATGAACACCAAAGTAGTGATGAAATATTCAGTGAATATGAAAGTGATGATATGGTTGTTGATGAAAATGATGAACAATCGGCTCAAGGTAACAAAGTCATGTGCTTTGTCTACTTTATGATGTATGGAATGATGCTTGTTGCACTCACTCCAAACTACTACATTGCTCCAGTGGCATGGACACTGCTTGTTAGTTGTTGCAACGAAGATCCAATTGATTTGTACTACAAACTTATGGTTAGTTTTGATAGTTTTTAAAACTTATGGGTAAAAATCATATTTTTCTAAAAAGTAAAATATATTTCACAAATACTATGGGCAAACATATGGTGAAATTTCACCCAAATAATATTTGCCATTTTATATTTGAAAATCTATGGCCAAACGCTAACTTAAAGATGTATAAAATATCTCGTTATTCATTGTATTTTGTTTTTTTCTCACTTTAAAATGGGATAATACGAAAAAAATATTTCTTGAAAATTGTGTCAACTAGAAAAATAAAATAAAATGGTAGTTATTCCTTGTAGAATTTCTTTTCTCACAAAATTGCACAGAAACTGTCAAATTGGACGAAATTGCCCCAAATTGTGTCTTCTTGTAATTGAAGGGTTCATTTTTTTTTTTACCTAAAATTATAAAACAAAAAACTTTCTAACTCTTGTTGTTTGAGAAGCTTCTTAGGAACCCAGGAAGCTTGGGACTCAAGTGGCAGCTCATAGAAGAGGTAAAGTTTCGATTTTTTCTATGTGGGTGTTTGTGAATTTCCATGTTTTACTTATTGTGGTCGATTTTGTTTCATTTGCTGTGTATGGAATTGTTGTTAGATGGTAAAATAGAGGTGTTTCATCTGCTGAATGCTACCTGTTCGATGAAAGTCCTAAGATAGGTTAATGTTGTTAAAAAGTACATATTTTTTTGCTTTCTGAGTCGTTTCTGACTCTAATATTTGCCGGACTACTACTCTTTTTTTAATTTTTTTTTTAGGTGTTCGCTTTATGTTGTAACTAAGCTCCCGTTTGATCATAGATTTTGAAGTTGAAACTCGAAAATTTGAGTTTTTGAAAGCTGTGACTTTTGGAATTTGAAGTTGTTTAGATATGTATTTACTTGGAAAAAGTTTGAAGTTTTGTGAGGGGAAGTCCCGATTGGGAACTTGAAATTATTTATCAAATTTCATGCAAGCAAGTATTTGAGGGTAATTTTTCAAAATCTATGATCAAATGCTAACTAAGATTTCGGAATTTTGCTCGTTTCTACTGTTCCATTTCAAGTTTCCCTTATTTTAGCTTAAATTTCTTGTTGATTACAGAAGCCTTAGGTAGTCACTAGTCAGTGTTACATTCTTTCGAAATATGAAAGATTAACTGACTTATTGAATGTCTCCTCTCCTTACATCAAGTGGCTTTCAACTCCTTTTTTCTTACTGGAAAGAAATGAAGGAAATCGTCCTACTTATCACAAGGCACTATTGTTTGTTGCATATTGAATTTGAAATTGTTAAGGAAGGAATCCTTCCCTTATTCATTTTTTTGAGTACCATGTCCTTTTTAAACCTCTTCCCTTTGATCCGCCCGGGAGACTGGAGGGAAAATATTATTTATAACTTTTCTCATTATTTTTACTGAGTTAACAAATTCCATTGTTGAATAATTTTATCAAGAAACTTGAACATAAACAACTCCCTCCCGCTCTTTTATCCCAGCTTATAAAGGGGATAATCCTTTTGAAAGCAAAGCATTTAGTAGTTACTTCTGTTTCCATGAAGCTACGTTCACTGTTGTGATAAATATATGTAATTCAGGTGGTAGATAACTTAAGTCACCTAAATCTTGTATTAAGGCTCATTGATGAGACTTCAGTAAAAACTTAGTGGGGTCTTAGCTATGTCCATTATGCTTTAGTGCATGCAGCAGTCTTTTTAAATTTATTGCTTGCAATGTTTGGTCTTGCAGTTGCATAATTCACATGATGGCAAAAAAATCTGAATCTGTATTCCTTGAAGAATGGCTATGCAGTATCAGTGGCACCCAGGAGAACGTGACGCTGAAACATCCTTCTTCGGCATCAGCCCAAGCTATCATCCGAGCATGGGCTGATCTTAGGGACTCCCTTCAAAATCAAGCATTCCACTCAAATCACCTCCAATCCCTAAGGACCCTCGTTGATGTTCAGTTCTCGCTCTATATTGCTGATCCACAAGCAAAGATTCTGTTGTCTATTTTGTCCTCACAAAAAGTCTCCCTTCCACAGGAATCTTATCCTTTATTTGTCAGGCTTCTATACATTTGGGTTCGGAAATCATTTAGACATTCTCCTGGGGTCATTGATTCAGCAGTTGAGGTCCTCTTGCACCTTTTCTCTGGACATATTCATTCAAACAAAAGCTTATCTTTCTTCTCTGAAGGTGTTCTTCTCCTTGGTGCTCTTTCTTTTGTACCTTCAGCATCCGAAAAATCTATAACGGTTTGCTTGAAATTGCTCTGCCAGCTCCTTGAAGAAGACTATAGATTGATCCATTTGTCTGAAAGGACAATCCCGAATGTTCTTGCAGGAATTGGCTATGCTCTCTCTTCTTCTGCGAACATTTATTTTGTTAGAGTTCTCAGTTGTTTAATGGAATTGTGGGATAAAAGCGACGTCCCTTCTGCTAGTTTGTCTTATGGGCTCATGATACTGCATCTGATGGAGTGGAGTTTCTCAAATTTTATCAATTCTCACTCCGCAGACAAGATTGATCTTTTCAGTAGAGAGGTATTGAAAAATACACGACCAGCATTCTCTTTGTTTGCTGTAGTCATGGCTGCTGCTGGAGTACTGAGAGTCATCAATAGATCTGAACAGAAAACACTAATTGACCTTAAGATTTCTGCAGAGGAACGAATCGAGACTATTGCATGTGGTTTAGTTTCTAGTGCTGGAGATGCTGATTATGCTACAATGGAGCCAAGAAACTCCTTTCTGTTACAGTGTATATCATTAGCTTTATCTAAAAGTGGACCATTTTCTTACCAACCTCATGTGTTTCTATGCCTCACTACAGCTTTGTTGACTGAAATATTCCCCTTGCCACACATTTATATCAAAATCCAAGAATCGCCTTCTGGCAACTTGGTGGGATTAGTTCTCACTGAGGTGCAGCAACACCTAGACAGCATTATTTTTAAGGAAGCAGGGGCCATAACTAGTGTCTTTTGCAATCAGTATGTCATGGCTGATGAAGAAAACCGAAGTGCAGTGGAGGATATCATATGGAATTACTGTCGGGATGTCTATATGTGGCATCGGAAGGTTGCTTTGATACTTGGAGGTAGGGAGGAAGCGCTGTTAGGGAATCTGGAAAAAATTGCTGAATCTGCTTTCCTCATGGTTGTGGTCTTTGCCTTGGCAGTAACAAAGCACAAGTTAAGTTTAAGTGCTCCCCAAGAAATTCAAATGAGACTTTCAGTGAGGATATTGGTTGCGTTTTCTTGTATGGAATATTTCCGCAGAATGCGTTTGCCAGAGTATATGGATACAATTAGAGCAGTTGTTACAAGGGTTCAGGAGAATGAACATGCCTGTGTCTCATTCGTGGAATCTATTCCATCTTATGATGATTTGACAAACCAAGCTGGTTGTGACTTTTTCCTGCATGTTTTAATTGCCAATATGTTTGCTATATTACAGTCTTTCACAAACACATCACCTTTTTCCTTGCAGTACCTTCTAGCTTTCAGAAAATGGAATATATGTGGACTACTGATGAAGTGCAGACTGCTCGGGTCTTATTTTATATGCGAGTAATCCCAACTTGCGTAGAATGTATACCAGCCTCTGTATTCCGCAAGGTGCTGGCTCCAACCATGTTCCTGTATCCTGCATCAGATGGTTAGATCTAGAAACAAGTAGGAAAGTCAAACCTGATTGAATATATAAAAATTTCCTTAATGCACTTAACCAGATACATGGGGCATCCAACTGGGAAATTGGCTAAAGCCTCACACTCGGTGTTTGTCGCTTTCATGTCCTCTGGTAAGGATGCTGATCCAGATGAAAGAGATACATTAAAGGAGCAACTTGTATTCTATTATGTCAAGAGATCTTTAGAGGTAATAAAAACTACCAAAGTTAATTGCTGTGATGCTTGAACTTGTTTTCTGATTTAACTGAAAGTTTACAGGGATACCCTGGGATTACTCCTTTTGAGGGAATGGCTTCTGGAGTTGTTGCACTGGTCAGACATCTGCCTGCTGGAAGCCCATCTATATTCTATTGCATCCACTGTCTCATTGAGAAGGCTGATAGCCTTTGTAGTTCAGTCGATACTACTCCAGAAACTGACTTGTGGAAGAGTTGGGATGGAGAGCTGGAGCCTTTCAAGATGTTGGATTTACTTTTTCGTCTCCTTTCTCTTGTTGATATACAGGTAAAGTGGTAACAATGTTTGTCTTCAACTGGTCAACCTAATGATGTGCAGTTACAAGTTCAATCATAAGAGAACATGTGCATTCCATGGATATGAAAATATTCAATATGAGTGATACTTCACTTTAATTGTTTAACGTCTTGTTTCTTCCTTCACTCGAAAATTTGTGTAATTGGTATAATTTGTAGGAGCTCTTTCTTGTTACATAAAAGCTTTGGAAAATGGATAGATGTTTCAACTATGAAAATGCTGATTTGTCTTAGGTGTCCTAGCCAGATTTATGCCTACTGTGCCAATATAATGCACTTGACGTGGCTGATAAAAACAGTTACTTTTTTTTTGGCTCTCAGGTTCTGCCTAGTTTGATGAAGTCACTGGCACAGTTGGTCGTTAAATTACCATCAAGTGGCCAAGATATTATTCTCAATGAGTTATATCAACATGTTGCAGAATCAGATGATGTTACACGGAAACCGACATTGGTTTCGTGGTTGCAGTCACTGTCTTATCTTAGTTATCAAAATACTAGCAAGAACGCACCAAAAGTGGCAGCAAAAGAACTACATGATTCTATGTCAGGAACTACAGACTCATTAAGCATGAATAAAATCAGTGCACGTCTATAGAAAATTGAGGTATACAATGTATCTAACTTTCATTGCTTGCGCTTTCATACTCCTTTAAAATGTGTCTTTCCTTGCCTTATGGTTCTGGTGAAAATGCTTTGGGGCAAGAAAAAGGCGCATCTGTTGAGAAAGTACTTTTTTTCTTATAGGCTAAATAAAATCTGTTGAGGAAATTGCTAGTCTTGCAACGTGGTAGATTTTCCCATTATTCTAATAAACTTATTTACCTTACCAGAGGCTGTGCATAAAGGAGTATTAGGTTTTATTACATTGTTGTTTATAAATAAAATTATATTACAAACGGAGCAATTGAGGAAGAATTCAGAAAGACTTCTCTTCTATTTAGCAAGAAGTGATGTGACAAGTACTTGTAATTATAAATGTCACAAAGGAGTGAGGATCATGAATTGGCTTTCTGGTGTTATATCCCACATATGTCCGTGTCTATGATTTCTGGATCCATTCAATTTTGAAGTTTCTTCGCAGAATTCTCAGGATCTGTTGCTAGTAATCCAGGCCAAAATTCAACATCCAACGCCAAGGGGTGAGTTCTCACTAACAAGTGCTGCCTCCAAAATTGGTTTGTGGATAGCCATAAACCTGTATGGTGTAATATCTTTTGGCTTAGTGGCTGCATCCTTTGAGATTTACCATTTGTTCATGAAGACTTGGGTCTGCGTTGAGATGGTATCGACACAAACTTCATCAGATTCAGTTCAATGAGGCAAGAGGATGTATGATGCAGGGTGAAGTTGCATTTTCTTTTTTCATGCCAAACTTCTGGCTGAGGATATTGTGCTTGCCATATCTTGCTCTCACTCACTGTATCAGGCTTCGGTTATCTCAGCTTGTTCCTGCTTTACTTGGTATTTCTGCCGGATTGTGAAGCAATTCTGCCATTGCTCATCCTATACCAGATCATGATGCCTCTTCCTCCAACGAATAAATACTGGAAAAGATTGAAAATGTTGTAACATAGACATCATACGACTTCTTGACTATACGGTTATATGATTTATTATACTGAATTACAAATATTCTGTTAGCATAAATGGTCAAGAAACATTTTTGAAGTTTTCTTCCCTCTGTTCACTCTTCTAGTAGGACTGGATACTTTCAGAGATGTATATTTAGCTGGCTTGCCCTTGGTGTATGCGTTGCACTTGAATAAATGCTCCAATACTGAATTCAGTGGTTTTGACTCATTTTTTTCTGATTAAGTTAATGTTTTCATTCACAAAAGAGCATCAAGTAGATGCATAGTTACAAGGAAATTAAAAAAGCATAAAAACAAAAGAACAAATGAATCCCTTTTCAGTATATTTTGGGGCGAACTTGACAACTAATATGAGACGGAGTGAGTAAATGATATTTTTATGTAGAAAATGCGAAAGACCATTGTTTTCCGTGTCTTCGATTATATTATTATTAATAAAACATTCCATAAGGGAGTAGTTGCCAATAGTGCTGGAAAATGAGACTAACAGTGTCACGTTGTGGACTTCCATTCTTGAAACCTCTATATGAATTTCCCTTTTCCTCTTCTTCTTCGACCCTTTGGCCTAGAAATTGTTCTGGAAGCTTCTCTGTAAAAATGTCGACAACCCCACCTTCTCGAATCACTCACATAATCAATCTTCCCACCCAACTCGACCAACCGGTTTCTGTTGTCGCTGCTCCCGGCGTCTCCGATACCCACTTCAGGCAAATCCCTCCACTCCTTATTTTCCTTTTTACATTTGTTGTTCTATTTTTAGCTATAAATTTATGTAATTCTCACTTAATAGGGAATTTGTTGTGTGGGTTTTATAAGTTTTTCATGATTTTTGGAATAAAAAGATACCTTTTTATGATATCTTTAGATTATAAGAGCTGTTTGATTGTCCCTCAACTTGTTATATATATTTTTTCTTTTTGGGTTTCTGCTTTTAGCTATCAACTTACGTAATTTACACTTGATAGGGTATTTTTTGTGAGGTTTTTACAAGTTTTTCATGATTGTGGAAAAAAGGAAGTTTCTTTTGAAAACTAAGAAGTTTTCTTGGCACGATTTGGATTAAGTGAGCTGTTTGGATGTTCCTGAACTTGTTATATCTTTCTTTTTTTTTTCTTTTTTCTTTTTGGGTTCAATTCTTAGCTTTCGACTACGTAATTCCCACTTATTAGTATGTCACTGAAGGTGAGATTCTAGAAGTTAAGATTTTGAGAAAAAAGGAGAGTTTTTTTATGTTAAAAAAGATTAACCATTTTTCTTGGGATGGCTTTGGATTAAGTGAGCTGTTTGGATGGTCCCTCTACTCATTAAATCTTTTTTTTTGCTTTTGGGGGTTCTCTTTTTAGCATTCTACTCACCTAATTCAAGCTTAATATGGTATTTGCAATGAGACTCGTAGAAGCATTTTTATATTAAAGATGAATCATTTTCTTGGTATGGCTCTATATCGAGTTTGAGTGGGCTGTTTGGAAGTACCTCCAAGTTGCTATATTATTTTAATTTCTTAGCATTCAACTTATTCATGCACAATATGGCATTTGTAGTGAAGATTTTGTAAGTTCTTCAGGAATTTAGGCAAAAGGAAGCATTTTCATTTTAAAGGTCAAGCATTTCTCTTGGTATGGCTTTGGATTGAAATGATTGTTTGGAAGTCCCTCCAGTTGCTACTACATTTCCTATCCCCAACCCCCTATTTCTTTTGGGGTTATGCAATTTCTCTTAGTATGGCATTTGTTGTCAGGTTTGTGGATGATTTTCAGAAAAGGAAGCATTTTCATGTTAAAGGATGAGAGTTTCTTAGTATGGGGTTGGATTGAGTGAAATGTCTGTTTTCTTGTAGGAATGCTATTGAATCCTCATTGTTCAAACAGTGGTTAAAGAACATACAAACTGAAACAGGACTGCTGGCTAATGGAGCTATGTCTTTAAAACAAGTTCTTATCCAGGTTTCGATCTCAAGCTGTTCTTTTAAACTATGAAGATAGTAACTTTTACTTGTTCACTAGTTTCGATGAATTACATTGTTGGCTAATGAGACCGTCAGAACACAAATTGAGTTGCTTGAGCCCTTCTAAATTTTTTCCACATTGGACAATTGGAGGAAAATGGTCTGTCTTCTGATCTTAACTGATGCTGAGGCTCTTAATTATATCTTTATTGAGGAAAATGGATATCTAGGTTAATTGTGCACTTTATGCTCCTTAAAGATTCCTATGCTTCCCTAACATAGTTGTCAGTCGTGCTCCCTTCTAAAGAGGATAAAAAAAGAAGTCTTCTTCATGTACGTGTCAGGATTCTTGGAATGATGTTAAGTCGCACTATCAGCGACCAAGAGTCCAAGACATAGTGACTATTACAGGATTTGAATCTGCTTTTGGTCCTGCTACCGCAAACATTAAGTTTGCTTTACAGCTGATATATCTTTTTATGTGTTGGAGCAGGATGTAGATATGTTTGGAGAGCGTTTGGGGTTTCTTAAATTCAAAGCAGATATTATTGATAAGGAGACGGGTCAAAAGGTATCTGATTAGAATCTCTCCATCCCATTGGATATGTAATTCATTCAGCCGGACTATGAATAGCTTCTCTTAAAGCTGTGTCCTCAATTTATTTTGCTTATATTTGGTTTTTTGTCCTTGTACCTTAGAGCAATGGACATTACAGTACTCTTGACATAGCTCGACAATATTAGCATGACAATGATGTATTACTTCCATTTTCCTTTTTCCTAGCTTATCCTTGGTTACAACAAGGGAAATTTCTTTCCAGTCACTATTACCTCTTTTGTGTCTAGGTTCCTGGTATTGTCTTCGCACGGGGTCCAGCTGTTGCAGTTCTAATCCTTTTGGATTCTGAGGGTGAGACATATGCTGTGCTTACGGAACAGGTAGGTCTTCCAACTGTCAACTCCTCCTTTTTTATAACGTCGAAAAATATCTCACAGTACAGATTATATGAGGAAATTTATGAAAGTTTTCTGTCCCTTTTTACTTTTTAAACTCTAAAATACATTCAAATTGTTTGAAAGGTTAGGGTCCCAGTTGGGAGGCTAATTTTGGAATTGCCAGCTGGAATGTTGGATGATGACCAAGGTGACTTTGCTGGAACAGCAGTTCGAGAGGTCTCTCTCTCCTTTCTATCAAAGCATTATCCCCCTCTTAAAATTTTCTAGTGAGGCAATCTGTCCCCTTGTTTTTTGTGGTTCAATTCCCTAGTATATATTAGTTTATTATTGCATAATGAACTGGATTCCTCTCATTGTGTCCTTATTCAACAAATCAATGGAATTTCCTTCTTTTCTGAGCAGTTTAATTGAATCCAGAAATCTGCTAATGTTTTGTATATGAGTGACTCAACTGATCCTTATAGGAACTTCCTTGTCAAAAGCAGCTATTTTAGCTTGTGGATGGCAAAATCAGAGGGGTTTGACCGAACATATAATTGAAGTATTTGATCTATATGTTTCAGGTTGAGGAAGAAACTGGAATACACCTGAATGCCCATGATATGGTCGACCTCACGGCTTTTCTCGACGCATCAACTGGGGGAAGAGTTTTCCCTTCTCCTGTAAGCTTCCACCGTCTTTTATAAGACTCAGACTACTCACCACATGATTTCTTGGATATTGTATTATAGAAACAGAAAAAGTAGAAATATTTGCATAAACAGCTAGTTTCTGCTAAAACTCTTATGGAAATGTATATGTTATAATAGTTTCATCTAGCCTAGTGTTAAAAGAAAGTTTGCGGTTATATTTCAGTCAATTTCGATTCATTGCACTGGTTGCTCTACTGTTTGGAACCTGTAAATTGTAATGACATTGGATATTGCTCCATGTGCACTTGCAATTAGTGGTATATTTGTGAACCTTGCACGGTGCACGGGGTAGGACTAGGCCTGACTTTTTTTTTGTTTGAGAGGGAAAGGTTCGGAGTAGGCATGACTACATCGGATCTTTTGTATGCAGCCTTACATTGGGTGTAATTTCAATTCAAAGATGAGGCCTTCTGTTATTGTTTCTGCCTTGGTACATCTCTTAACACTATATTTCTGTGGTTTTGTTGTTCTTTCAATGTTAGGGTGGTTGTGATGAGGAGATGAGTTTGTTTCTATACAGAGGAAATGTCAGCAAAGAGAAAATCCAACAACTGCAAGGGAAAGAAACCGGACTACGAGACCATGGTGAGCTGATCAAAGTGCATGTGGTTCCATATGATAAACTATGGCGTGCCACAGCTGATGCAAAGGCTCTGACCACCATTACTCTCTACGAGATGGCTAAAAGAGATGGGCTGTTGTCTTGATCGATGAGTTAATAATTTCTCCTCCATTATATATCAACTTACGTATTGTATGCTTTGCTGAAAATATGATGATTCTCTATTTTAGGCAGGTCTGCTTCTACAGTATGAGCATTCCTTGGTGAACACTACTGCAACTGTATCTGTTGGTTCTTGATATTGATTTTTTGTATATTAGACACAACTGTTCTGCATAGAACACAATTTTATCGTCTCGAAAAAGAAATAAGAAGGGGAAAGAGAAGATTGTTACTTGCAACACTGTCAATATTCAACACGACTACCACCAACTGGAATTGAGCTTGATGCTTTGTTTGAAGTTTAATTCACTAGCATTTCTCATTGAAATAAAGAGCAGCGGATCGTTAATAGGAACCAACGAAACAAGAGCAACAAATGATTACATTTATTTTGATACATTAGCTTGCTCCATCCAACTTAAAAGCTTCATGATTGTGAAAATGATACAGACGTAGTATACAATGATCAAATGATTCTAAAGATAACTGTTCAGAGTTTGCTGGTTGCTTCCCAAATAGTTGTACCATCACAAGCACAAATTTTCTTGTAGTTCTCACCAACTCCTGCACTTCTAGCTATCACTGCTGCTGTAAGTCCTGGATCTGTTTTATCTTCAGTTGCATATACAGCTATAGCTCTCCCAATCAGGTCGGCAACTCTTAGCCTCTCCTTAGGACCGGTATAAAATGCCTCGCCTTTCTCATCAACTTCCAGTGTAACCAGGTCACCGAGTGGCTGAAAAATGGAAAAACACACAAGTGCAGTCAATAGTCAGTCTGTCTGGTGCAACATACATAAGACATAAGGAAACCAACCATTCATTAGAACCTTATCCATATATTAGGCTCCTTTTGACAGTCCAACAAAAGGAAAAATATAACATAATAAGCTTGATAGACGCTTATTTCACCCTTCAGAGGACAAAGAGAACGGAAAAGCTTCACACAGTCCTTGACAAACGATATCAAGTATCCAGACAGTTACGATTCCATAACTAACAGCATGGTATTAGATGCATTTCATTGACAAAGGACCCCTTAAATGCACTTCTATCATAGTCCAAACACTTCAAGCATCCTCGAGTGAGATTAGTTGGAACATGATTGCATAATTAATATTTAATATTATGGATCCTGATTCTCTCTCTTTCTCAATGCAAGTATATTGCAGAATCCATGCCCCAAAGAAAAAAAGGTTCATAGGAAGAAGATAGCGCAACATATTCAACATAAATAAAATGTTCTTTTGCGTGTTACTTACTGGGCTGTACAATTTTCCAGTACTAGCTGCCCCCCTCGTCAAATCACCAAATTCATTAATAGACCAAGCATGCTTTCCAGGTGACAGGCCACTGAAGTTTGCTTCAATCCTAGTTAATTCCATATTGACTTGAGCCAAGCGAACAACACCAAAAATATCTGGTCCTTTGAATTCGGCAACAGCAGCAGATACAAGGAAATCTACACGGCATGGTTCAAATGAATATAAAAGTTAGATGCATCGCATAAAAAATAAAGCAGATAAAGCTAAGACGACTGACGCTCATGAGAGAAGAGCATAATATCTCTTTTTTGCACTCTTCTTTCCCTTCAGCCCTTAAGAAGGCCATTACACACTATAATCATAAGTATGCGTACTTCTGCTCATCCTCTTAACATAGCCAGAGATGTGAAGACATAGTGCTTCACAGATTTTCTATAATATTAACGGAGGAAACATGACAGATGCAATTAGATAAGATTAGAACATACCATCCGGTACTCCTTGTCCAATCAGACGGGCTTTTCGACCTGTTTGCTCCAAGGCTTCAGTCATAGTCTTCACAGGTGAAGATCCAAGAATTCTCACTACTTGATTATCAAGGTCCACATCCACATTCTTAACTCCTAAAAGCAACACAAACGATCTCTTTCAACACCAAAACAAATTGATGAAGTTAAAATAAAGCCCCAGGACAAGGCATGGTTTCTCTTTTTTTTTTTTTTTTTTAGCATTTACCTTCTACGGTTTGCAATTTGCTCTTAACAGCATTAACACAGCCTTGACACGACATGTCCACCATAAACTCTGTCTGTCACCAATTTGTCAATACAATCAGTTTAACATGGAAAAAAACAACAATATGCAACATAATATATCAACTCACAAAGAAACCAATAAAAACAAACGCAAACCCCCCAAACTAAACCTTCAATAACCAACAAAATGGGCTACATTAAGCCATCAAGATTAAAAGACACCCCATTAAGCCATCAAGATTAAAAGATACCCCCCTCCCTTTAAAAGTCATCATCTTTGATAAACTAATCACATTACAACCAGCACAATCAATTTACCTAAGCAATTAATCAAGGAGAGAAAGACCCTCTCGTATTATTGGCAATATAATTCAAAAGAAGAACTACAGATTTTTATTGACAAGTGAATATTGTTTGAAGCAAGCATTATATAAGGGCTCTTGTCCTCTCTTCTCACAGAAGATGTTAGTTGATCTACCTAAAGCAGAGGGCAAAATGATTGATATTGTACTACTCTAATTGTACATTTCCTTATATCAAATGTTGTACTACTCGTAGTACTATCCAAAGTACAAAGTTACTAAATTTACATAACTAGACTCTTTACAAGTACAAGAATCCCTATTTATTGTACAGCTTCAAATATGCAAAAAACACCAAAAAATTCCTCATTTCTCCTCCAAACAAAAATAGCATAGATTTTTTTTTTGTAAGAAAGAACTTACCAGCAATTCAGGAAAAACGACTCCATTCTGTAAACGAAAAATCACATTACTCAATTAGAACAATAGCATCCATTTATTGCCAAATTTACAAACAAAAAAAACAAAAAAAAAGTTAAAACATATTAGTTTGTCATTCTGGATTAAAAAAAGAGATGGATCTAAAATTTAGTGGTGGAAAATTGCAATACAAGTAAGAACTCCCTAAACCCTAAATCCTCGCCAATAAGGTGAAAATTCAGGTAGCCAACCAATTGAGCCCTGTAAGATTCTCCAAATAATTCAAAAAATTAAGAAAAAAATAGAAGAGCTGAGGGATAAATTATTACATCGGAGGAAGTTTGGTGATTGGAAGAAGGCGTTTCCATATGAAGAGCTGAAGGAGGACTTGTTTTTTGTAGATTCTTCGCGAAGCTTAATTGGAGAATCGGATTCGAACTAGAAATTGAGCCAAATTTTAGATTTTTCAATGGACGTTCAAACTGCGAAGAAGAAGAAGAAATAGAAGAAACAGCAAAAGCAGCAACTGGAATAGCAGTAGCAATGGCGGTTGTTTTTGCAGTCACAATGGACCTCAAAAATGCCATTTTTTCACTCTTTTTATATTCAGAATTGGTCATTAGAAAAATGTTTTCACACAGAGAAAAGAAGTCGATGCCTGAGGCAATCTAGTCATTCTAGAATCATCTATTTCATGTATTCACTTAATTGGGCTGTTTTTAAGTTTTATTGGGCCATATATAACTACTTGGGTTGGGCCAAGATGGGTTTCATTAGACATAAGCTATCTAATTGCACAAATATTCATACGGTATTAACTAATGGACAATTTACTTAATTACACTCATTTACTTATCTTAATATTCATTTATCCCTACTTATTTCAAAATTTTCAAAAATCCCTTATTTACCTATGTATCTCACATGTATCCCGTGCACAATGCTATGTATCCCGCTATGTGAAATGTATCAAACGCTATGTATCCCGCTATGTGGAATGTATCAAACCTAATGTATCCCGTGCACAACGCTATGTATCCCGCTATGTGGAATGTATCAAACTTAATATATCCCGTGCACAACGCTATGTATCCCGCAAACATCATTTTTAAGGGATTTTTGGTAAATAAAAAACTAGAAGGGATAAGATGTTATTTAGTACTTATAATATGTAGTTCCTATAATTTATACTTAACTAATTCTACCTATAGTTTGAAATAATTATATTTTATATCTCTCTAACTAATAATTTCATATCATATTTCAAGTTGCATGTGTTTTTGCTATCAGATACATGGAAATATGGAGAAAGGCGAGCGAAATTTGTCTATGTATTTCAAATATATGTGAATCACACTAGATACATGTATTTGTATGATCAAATGTGATTTGATGTCTATGATATACCAAATACTTAGGAGAGTCGCGAACGAAATGAGAGGGAGACGAGTGAGATTTGTCTATATATCCTAGATACATGCGAATCTACTTGGATACCACGTGTCTAGAGCAAATTACATCTAATTTTGACCCCATATATCTTGAATTACATGTATTTGGATGCACGAAAATCTGACAAGATTCATAATATTGTAAACTAACGTGTATCTTAGTAATTAGCTCTAAAACTAGTGGAATTTTTGTAAGTTACCCTTTTATTACTGTGTTTGGTAGAAAATAAGTGACTTTCTTACATATTTTCTAGTATTTGACAAATAAGTAAAAAAAAATAGTAACCCAAAAACATTTATATGTAAGCTACCAAAATATTATGAGGGTTGAGAGTGGGGGTTCAAGGGTGGTCAAGACTCTAAAGATGGGGTTGGAGACGTTGGGTGGGTGGAGAGAGGACAATGAAGTTGGAAGTTACTTGCTTTTTCTACTTTCATATGTTCTTCATTTTTAAAGAGATTGTTTTGTTAGAGAAAATATTTTGACCAACCAAACATGAAAAAAATCGAAAACAGAAAATGTTCCTTTCCCACCAAAAGAGTAAGAAAAATGATAAAGGAAAAACTGATTACTATCAATAAGGATATGCTTTTATTTTCTTCAATTAGCTGGAACAAGCATTGAAGCAATATTTAATATTAAAGACCAAATGCTTATAAATATAGTACTATAGGTTGAAAAAGAAGAGGTAAAACTAACATAAAGCATATAGTAAAAAGAAACAGCATTTTCACTATAATGAAATGTTTGAGTACTTTATGCACTTATATAGCCAAATTTTCATTAGACCAACACAAGTGCAATTGGACTTCTCACAGAGTGTCTATTAGAAGTCCACTTCAAGAATCCCTCAACAACCTCAGGGTTTGAGCTATTAGTTGTCTTGGAAAATGTCACTTGGTATGTCAACTTCTGGTTCAACTGGGAGAAATTTAGCTCGGTGGGTTCAACTTCAATGACAACGCCTTTTGGTGAAGCTACCTCCACTTTGTAAGATGATGTAGCATCACCAACATTGGTCACAGTTCTGGTATATGTCTGAGGAGTTGATCCAAGTCCGAATATGGAAAATGAAGGATAGTTTAATTGTGCTTCAAGGATACTTTTCACCTCCGTGCAATTCACCTTGCGTTGTAACAGGTTACCTACCTGTCGATCTGTGTACTTCAAACCACATAAATAAGGTACATAGTCCTCGAATGGTGTATCATAAATTAGTCCTGGATCATTTGCCCTCGATGGATTAACATGTCCTGCACCAATTGCATAGATGTCAGCAGGAAGGAGCCTTTCGTTTAGTATTGGACTGTTGGCAAGGTTTAATGTGTCAGCGGTTGTCATGATTGCAGACTTAATAGCAGCAGGAGACCAATCAGGATGTGCGCTTTTCAGCAGAGCTGCTACGCCACTAAGGTGAGGGCAAGACATTGAGGTGCCTGATATAATATTGAATGTGGATTTGGTGTTTTTGTTTTCATCCACAGAGGCAGGCCAAGCAGCAAGGATATTAACACCAGGACCGATTATGTCAGGTTTCAAGATGCCAGTACTAGCTCCACTTGGTCCGCGAGAAGAAAATCCAGCTACTATGGGAGCATTTTTATCTCCAATTATCGTTCCTTGGAACGTGATTGTAGCAACAGGGTTCGACGTTGAGTTCATATAAGCAAGGATTTTTGTTCCATCTGCATCTGAAACATCCAATGCTGGAAGAACATGAGCATCAGCTGATTTAGTGACACCGGAGCTTGGCCGGTTGATGATAATCATGCCAACACCTCCAGCATCCTTTACAGCTTGTCCTTTATCAACCCCCGGAACTCCACCACCGGCCAAACATATGACTATATTTCCTCTTATAGCAGGGTCAGTAAGTGACCCTGGTCTGCAATAAGGGGTTTCAAATTCGTCACTTGCATTTCTTCCAGCATCAAATAGAGTGAAGAATGTTGAGTTGGAAATCTTTGGCTGATAAGCAGATTCTCCTTCAAATTCCTCTCCATTTCCAATCTTAACAGTAGCTTTTAGCTTTCTATCATGAGTGCTAGCGCCTACTGTAAGAATCCACGGGGCTGCATTTCCTACTGAGCCAAAGAAAGGACCATTATTGCCGGCAGAGCAACTTACAAGAATACCTCTTTCTGTTGCACTATATGCCCCAAGAGCAATAGGATTACTATGGAAATCACTCGAACGACCTCCACCAAGAGATATAGAAAGGATATCTACGCCATCATCTATAGCTGCATCCATAGCAGCTAAGACATCAGTATCAGCACAACCATCAGAATTGCATACCTTATATACGGCTATGTGGGCAAAAGGGGCAACTCCAGCAGCAGTGCCATTAGCACTCCCAAATACATTAGCACCATTCACAAAGGCTCCTGCAGCTGTGCCTGCTGTGTGTGTACCATGTCCATCATCGTCTATCGGGGAACCATTGCCAAGTTGGTAAGACCTCGCTCCAATGAGCTTGTTGTTACACTTGTTTGTGAAATTGGACTCACAAACTCCGTTCCACTTAGCAGGCGGAGGAGGCATCCCAACGTCACTAAATGAAGGATGGTCAGGAAGAATTCCAGTGTCTATAACTCCGATGATCACACCTTTCCCATAGTTGAAATCCTTCCATACACCCATGTTCTGCTGCAAACCAAGAAAACTTGGAGTATGAGTAGTATCCAAGGACAAAATCCTCTGTTTCTGAGCAGAGACAAAGCCGCGTTTCTTCTCCATTTCCTTCACTTGTGCTGCAGTTAATCTTGCTGCAAAGCCTTTCATCACATTGTGATAGGAATAGATCATGCTAGCAGCCTCTTCATTTCCACTTGAGCTAATCGCGGTAGTAGTTTTAGGCAAAAAAGAAAGGTAATAGCTCTCTAAATCCGTTAATGATGATTGAGTAGAAACTAGGCTTTCAGGGGATTCAACATGGACCATATAAGTCTCGAAATCACTCTGAACACTAGGCCATGGGAAAGAGCAAAAGATGAAAACAAGAAGGATTTTCAAGAATCCCATGGCTTGTAAATGGTGTAGTAATAGTACTTAATAATGTTATAATTGGAAAATGAATTTTTTGAACTTTTGAGATTAGGAGTTATATATCTATCTATATTTATATATATTGCTTTATACTTGAACTATACACATTCATTTTATTTTGCTCCACTTGCAAAATCATATTGATGAACTCTGAGTGTGATGCGTATTAATTATTTTTATGAATGGTTATTTTCATCTTACTTTAAATTATCAATTGCAATCTTTTTTTTTTTTTGCGTTTAATTGCTTTATTGAATCACAATAATTAAGTTCTATTAATTATCTAATGTTCATGTTCGAGAGAGATTGCTTTTAGATTAGAAAAGAATTAAGTAGGGCATGGTCTAATTCCCTAGAATTAGGGCAAATATTTGCAGCTTAGATAGGGATATATCTAGTTATCGTGTTCAACCAACTATCGTAAGAAAACATTAATTCCATAGAAATATAGGTGACAATCTATTTTGATTAGGTGAGTTGTAGTTCGGAAGAATACCATGAATATTAATAACTCGATTAATTAGCAATAATTAATGATTTGGATTAACAGGAAATAGTTTGAGAACTCGATAGAATTGGTGAATCAACCAAAAAAAATATCAGTCTTAATTAATCATTAATCACCTATAGTAATAGGACGTTGACCCCTATGAAATGGGGTCAACGAATTAAATGGAAAAACCCTAACAAGGTTCTTGTTAGATGTATGTATTTAATGTCGGTGAAGATATATTTTGTGTGGTGCCGGTAAAATGAACCCATATGTTGGTAACCCGATCATATTTTAATAGATTGGGTGAATGTTTTTTATATGGGTTGAATTTATACCATATGAGAAATGTTTTCCAAATCAATTTACTTTTTGATTTCCTCAATCAAAAGATCACAGCAAAGTTTAAAATATTTTGAATAGCAAGGAATAATTATAGCCAAAGAAAAGATTATTTGACTCCGCCAAATAAATTATTGTCAGGTAAAAAGGGATGGAGGGAGTAACAATTCAACTACAATCAAAATGAGTACTTGTAGTTTCACTAGACCAACACAAGTGCAATTGGACTTCTCACAGAGTGTCTATTAGAAGTCCACTTCAAGAATCCCTCAATAACCTCAGGGTTTGAGCTGTTGGTTGTCTTGGAAAATGTTACTTGGTA